CTTTGGGCAGACACAACAAGGCCCCCTCCCAATTCGTCGGGGGGGTCCATCTCCACAGCAACACTGTAAAGTAGGCCACTCTTAGAAAGAGTGATTAACCAAAGGCCACTCATTCAGTTGTATGGCTTCATGAGGATGAATACTTGGTTTCTCATTGCATTACACTGGCTCACCAGTGTGATGGATTTGTCTCTCCCAATCTGAAGCTTTAAACAGTTATTCAAAGTTTAATTATAAATACATAAGTAAGAAAAAGAAAGTAGAGAAAAGAAAGGAAAAATGTGGAAAACACAACTGAAATATTCATGATTTATGCAAAACCACTAATATAAAATAACCAGAGCTGCAATCCTGCATGCCTCACCCTAGCCAACACTAAGTTGAGTCATATACCATACACCTTCTGAGGTCCCTGCCCAACATGACTATTTTGTGCCTTGTGGGGAGTGGGCAGGATCAGAGGAACATCTGTGTAACTCCCTAACTTCAAGCAGATAATTATTTGACATACTATCTGGCATTATGTTAGCAGAGGAACACAATGGATTTCAGCATTGATGTAATAATTTGCGTCAGACTACAGAAGCAGAGGCAGACACTTCTCTGACCCTGAGCACTCCCCATAAGGCATGGAATCATAAAGAGGTGCTTCACAGACTATATAATAAGGCTAGGGAGGACATAAGGGAATGTCGGAGCAGCATTGTCTATCCATCAAATTCCAAGACTTATTAATATTATTTAAAATTACATAAATATGTACAATTTTCAAAGGATTTTTAAATGATTTTGTCCCTTTAATACAAGAATTCCCCCCCCCCCTTTTAATACTTTAGTGGTGTCTTCTCCCTGTGAAGCCTGCGTGTGAATTTTGGGCTGTCTCAGTGATATCATACAGGGACATTACAACTAGTAACACTTAACCCCTGCAAGTTGCAAGAGCATCTCCAGCAGCAATTCCAGCAGGCTTGGAAATGTTTAATGAACACAACTGAGGAAATGTTTGAATAATCCTCAAGTCTCTCTGGACCTAATTTATAATATCCCCCACCCCACCCCACTTAACCATTGCCACATCTGACAATCCTGCTAGTAGCACATTTCCAGGCAAAGTTTAGTTACTCTAATTGCTGATTCTACCTTATTAACAGTTCTTCAGAGCCACTAATGCTACAGTTTTGAGAATCAGCATTTTGCTTGCTGTGTTGTGAACATTTTTTTAAAGGCATTTAAAAGGGCAGTGCATATATTTTACATGCAGCAGGTCCTCGGCAATACGTGGGCCTATTGATGGAGGTCATTCATCAATTATAGTTTAATCATAAATTTCTGTCAAAATTCAATGTGGCAACAATTTTAGGTGCCTTTGACAGCTGCCTGTGATAAAAAGGGATAAAAAAGAAGTTTTTCTTCTTCATTTACCAAATATAATAAGGATTTTCAAGAAGCATCATCTTCTGCAATGTATCTTGGAGTGAACATGCTTGGACAGGGGCCATTGGTCAGTATTCCCAGAAAATTCCAGGTTCTTTCCTTAACACCACAGATTTAAAAGATTTCATTTACACTAGGCTATCAAAGTCATCTCCTTGAGTTATTTTCAGAGTGTGAAATTTTACTTTTTAAAAGGAACTACTTGCTGTACTAATTACTCTGATCACCTAACACATTGTCACTTGTTACTGTTATCCATAATGGTAACTCACTAAATTACTTACTACTAACATGTTACTCTTCGTGTGCAGAGTGGGTTCAATACGTTTCAGCAAACTTTTTATTCAAAACAAAAACAAAAACAACTATTTGTGAAATGAAATAACTAGGTCAGGTAACTCTTGTGTAAGTAAAAAATAAATAAATAAAACCCTCTAGAGACCACTTGAAATCATCTTTCAAAATACAACCATAAATTATGGTGACCAAACCTGTAGATCGATTTTTTAAAAACATTCTGGTTAATCTTCTCTCCTCTCTCTCTCTCTCTCTCTCTCTCTCTTTTTCTTTACTTTTTATTTTTATTGTATTGAATTCTATTTGTTTTTTGTGCATGCTCAGTAAGGGAATCTGGAGGCAGCTGCTGTTTATCTTGCCTCTTGTAGGCAGACATACATTACAGTAGGATTAGCTAAAGTAGAATTCATTCTTTCTCAGGTCAGGTTTTGCTTATTGCATTGTTTAATGCAGAGAGTTTACTGCTGAATCCCAACACCAAATGTATGTTTCTCTAGTCCTCCTTCACCATCCTCTCAATCCTTATGTTGCTAAAACACATTCAGATGGACAGAGGATGAAAAGATGGATACAAAAAGACTTAAAAAAAAAAAGGAGCTTCTTTGTCAGAGGCTTGTTAACTGAGACAAGCCTGTATACATACACAACCAGTAATTAGTAAAGAGAAGTCAGCCTCTTTCTTTTCCACTGAAAATCAGTGAATTACATCCTTGATCATTACAGGCAAAAAAATAACTCCATTTTGACCCATTACTGCAAAAGGTTGCTATTTATCAAAATAACTTAGAAAAATGAATTCCTTCCTAGCTCTGCTCATGTTAGATCACTTCTGTTCAAAGTGAAGCACTGATCTAGACCAACAAATGTTTGAATCAGTATGACACAGTTTTATCGGATGTAATTATCAGCTTCATCATGTATCCCATTTTTGCACCTCTGAAAAACAGAATCTGAAAACTGGAATCAATAGGCATTAAAGGTTATTTGTGCGTGATTGCTGTCTGATTTCTTTTATCCCATGACACAGACTCTACTTTGTGGCAGCAGCGTGGAAATTGCACAGTATCTGACATGAATATAAGTTATGAAAAATGTAAATGCAATATGAGAAAAGGCCTAAGTGGACAGTCTTACCATTTTAAGGACTTTCAAACATATCCTTTTGCCTTGCTTCTTGCTGTTTCAGTTCATCACACACACCCATCTCCACTCTGGCACGTTTACATACTTATATGTTAATGGGAAAATTAAATAGCATGACATCAAAGACTTCACATCTGTGAAAGGGAATCTGTCTTCAAAAGACTTCAAGTTAAAAAAAAAAAAAACCTTCACTGAAACAAAGGCAATTCTTGTCCTCCGGGATTCACTGGGGTGTATGTGGTTTGTTTTTTGTGGGGTTTTTTTTTTTTTTACAAACTTATAAATATATATTTAGCAGGGGAAGGAAAGCAGGACTAGTAAAGTATTTGTGTTTCTTGAGCTTGTTTTATGACAGCAAATTCTTTTTCCAAACTAGTATTAATAATCCTGAGTGACTGGCTAACAAACAACTTTTTCTGGGTCGCATGTATCCTCCATCCTTTACATTTGAATTGAATGCTAGATTTTATGGAAACAGCAGTACAAATGGCCTTCAACAAAAAGGATACTTGGTCCTGCTATCCTTGTTTAGCCTTGACCCATTATCATACAAGCTATGAGGTCATGGAATCCAGAGCTGGCAAGAGTGAATTTCACCATCATGTCATGCTGAAGTGGAGGTATCAATTTTGGCATATTCTCCCATTTAGCATGTTTCCAGAAAGTTCTTTTGTTTAAAGAGCATATCAGGGATAAAGATTCTGAGACCTTTTCCTATTCCTTAGCATACTAACTTTCTAGCTGTAAACCTGCTTGTGGACACAATTCAAAATATTCAAAATGTGATAGAGAGGGTCAAATTTCTGGGTCAAAGTAAAATTTGCTTTTGCAGTCCAAAGTCCTGGGTTTCCTTCTAGTCACACATAGAGGAGTTCTTGTCCATAACAAAGTGAGTCTTGCTACAGGTGTATCTTTAAAATTAAGAATTGGGTGCCTACATAAATTTGCTGAGCCAATAACCCACTCACATTTCCCCCTCAAGCTACCATATTTTCCAGCGTATAAGATGACTGGGCGTATAAGACGACCCCCAACTTTTCCAGTTAAAATATAACTGGACCCCTTTTCCAACACACACCAAATAAAAATAAAAAAAATCAGATTTGATTTCA